ATATATATAATAATTATTGGTGGAAATTTTAATATGGAAATATTAAATATATAAATTCTTAAAAATTCTATTTAAAAAGGTACTTATGAATATAAGTAGTGATAGTAGTATATCAGAAGATTTTTTAAAAAATCGTGTCTATAAGATAAAATTAATAATTGAAATAACCTATTAAATTAATTATCAATTTAAAAATTTGTTAATTGTAAGCAAAATGTCTAGAATATCCTCCATATCCTTTTACAAAATTTGTTAACAAATAATATGAGGAATCTAGACAGGTCACTTACAAGCCTAATTACCACACTTTCAAATATTACTGATTAAATTGATGGGCGTTTGACAATAGGGACATTCATCTTGTGTACTGGCGCAAGTATCACACAATACAAAATGATTACAATTTAAGGTTACTGTTCTATTCCGTTCCTCACAAACCATACATTTTGACGCTGTTTCCCTATAAAGAACTTTCTCGATTTCTTCCAAATCTTGCCTAAGTTGAGCATGAATATTTTTTAATACACTTAAAGATAATTTACTTAATTCAGACACTTTTGTTATACTGCGTATGTGAGGACCACCTTGTAAAGATTCATATTCTTGCTTTAGAGCATTATATTGTGATAACGTTTCATTGAATTTACTTTCCGCTTGTTGCGTTTTCCTAGTTGCCTCTTCTGCTTCCCTTTGCCATACGTCACACGCAGTACGAGCTTGTTGAAGTCTATCCTCCCAATTATTCAATTGAATTCTACAACTGGCTAACTCCTCTCGCAACCTAGAAACACGTTAGAATTATTAGAAGTATGTATTTCATTAATAATGGGACATAAATCAAAATTGCAGAGGTGAAGAGAGGGCAAATTGGGCCAAACATGCTTTAATCAAATATAGCTTTTTTCGTATGTCAAATGTCATGAGATATACTCTCTATTTAATTAATACAATATATTTGGAACTTAAAAAAATAACTGAAAATTATTAGCTATATTAACAGATATCAAACCAATGCCCATAAGATTTAACCACTTACAATACTGGATATTTTTTATGTGTAAGGTATTTTAGTTTGGAAAACATTCCTGAAATCTCTACGAAATTTTTTCTAAATCATAATCTGTCACTAAATTTAAACAGCCCCTAAGGATACTGAACATTACTGGCCTAATTTTAAACTGCACAGATTTTAAAATAGACCTTTTTAGTAGACGTCACATATGCCAAATAATAGGCAACCCCATAGTGCACATTGTCATTAAGTTTCTCATTATTTTTACTAGACCGATTTTCGACCTTATGTAGTTTGGACATAAGTGCCAAAAAAATATCTTCTTTGTCATGACCTTAAATATTGCGATATTCTGGCAATATTAGAAATATTTAAGAAGTTTCAAACCCCAAGTGACAAACTAATAAAATTATAGAATTTATATATTTAAATTTATAGAACAATATTCACTTTTATAGTAATTAAATTAAAATTATATCAATGTTACTGAGCAAGCGCATTAAGATAATTTCATGTAAGTGAAGTAGCCTCGCAACAGGATATCATTCAAGGAAAGTTTGGTTAAGATTAAGAGTACGTCTACAGGGTATCCCACGGTGACAAGATATTAGATATATTTCAGACTACCTACTTCGATTTTAATTTTGAAAATTTGGGAAATAGTGTTTTCGGGCATGCTCTTCTCAACTAAATTAATGGCGTCCAGCTAACGCTTCCGGTTATACCATTTAAGTCATTTTGAAATTATGGCAGGGAAGCTTATTGCAACAATATACAGGGGGTTCCATTTAAAATAAAGAAGATGACGTCAACTTCCGGTAGAACCGGAAGTGTTAGGTGAACGCCATTAATTTAGTTGGGAAGGGCATGCCCGAAAACACTATTGCCAAATTTTCAAAATCAAAATCGAAGTAGTCTCTGAAATATGTCTGATGTCTGGTCACCGTGGGACACCCTGTATAATAAACCAGTTGAAGAAAAAAAAAACACTCCATAAACACACTGACAGTACAACACCAAGAAAAACAATAACAATACTTAGTAGAACTAGAAAATGCCAAGATTAAACAAAACAAGAGAAAATACGCTAATGATGACAGCGATAACATATCTACAAGAGCTCACCTGCGTATGAGACTATTCTTTCCGAGCATTAGCATTAGGAATAACACGGCTAATGTTAAATTTTTACTTTATTTAAATTTAGGAATATTCTTTTATATCGTTTTTTGTAAGTTCTAAGCACATTAGTGTATTTATTTTATGAAATACATATTGGTCGTTCTTAAATACTTTTAAATCCTTGTAAAAATTAATTAATTTGAAGTTGTTCATTTTTATAGTATCTATGTCAATAGTGCACAAGGGTCAGATTCAGTTTGTACAATTTCAACTATGACAATTTGTTGCGAGTTGCCTAAATATGCGGCGTTACACTAAAAGAGTCTATTCATTATACACTTCGCATCAAAATTAAAGCACTAAAAATGATCCCCGATTTGAAAAGTTAATTTTCTCCCGAATCTTATTTTCTCTAGATAGAAACATTTTTCCCAAATTTTAGTTTTTAAATTATACTGGTTGCAAAAGAAATTAAGTTTTTTGCACCAGCTAAAATAGCAAGCCTTACTTGATTCAAATTGTAGTCTCATCTTTTTTTTAACAATTCGTTTTTTGATTCAAGTCACTGTTATTAATTTAGATACCTACATTGTTGAATTAAAAGTTTATTGTACAGATTAAGAAAAACTGGAGATAACAATAATAATGGCGTATTTCCAGTCCCGAGCAATTACAAAATTCACTTAATTTTCCAATCGGGGTTGGAAAGAAGAGCAACAAGCTATCTCGAATAATATTGTTCAAACCAAAGTCAAAGAGGACGACTCCAGGAGCCATAAAAACACCCCAATCATTAATGCTAGACGCAGCATGGAAAAGACGGAATTTCGCTAAACCTCTGTCTCCACCCATACATCCACAACAAGCAGTCCCCGACGTCTATTCGATGAGATGTCTATTCACCGAGACAATCCAGGGAGCGCAGGAAGGAAAATACTGAAATTCACCAATCTTTTCAATATTCGCTCTGCCAGCCGCGCTCATCGATCCCATCGACCCATGCCGTCATCAATAGCCCAGTCAGCAGCGATGAGGGTCAGATCGATGCAATTCACCGGCCAAGGAGCCAAATCTACAAGAAGCCGGAAGCGACAGCGGAAAAATCAGTGACTTTTCCAAATTTCAGACCTCCGCTGCACCACGCCGCTCCAGAGACAATTCAACATCCTGGACCATCCATCCTAACGCCAAGCACCATTGAGGACGTACCCCGGAGCGATTAGGATCGATTTTCGGATAAATAAAAAATTTTCCGATTACGAAAATCGGACCTAACTACATAAATACATAATACAACAATAATCAATCATTTTTAGCAATTCAGCTGTACCCTAAATGCCACCAAACGAGAGTGTCCTGGAGCCGAGGACGATTTTGAGTACAGGAGAGATGCTGTCCCTCCGCCGTTTTGAAGGGAAATCAGTCGTTTGGGCTCGAAGTGAGCAGACATCGACTATGGGAATTTGCAATCTATTAGATGGGCCTGCAAATACACTAGGGTATTCACCCGATCTAAATTTTCGAACTTCCATAGCATTGATGCTCCTTCCACGTATTGCAAATAGGTAGGCTTGGAAACTTTCTACAAAAAACTCATTTCCATTAGAGCCAAGCTCACACATTTGTACGCGACGTCGAGGAGATTATCCCTCCGTCCACATACATATCATATTACTATTATAGGAACCGCTCCTCAAACATCCTCATACACGCACACTCCAAGGAATCCGTGCCATATCGCTAACCGCAGTGTTCAGCGCAGCAGACAATAAGAGTCCTCGAACTCGCAGTACTATAAACTTAAATTCAGTGTTACATCTAATATTACAGGGTCAATCGAAATCCTTTTCGAACTCTTATATACATACAGGATCAGTCTTGGACGACAACACTAAAGCGCAGATTGACCTTCCGAAGCTCTTTCTCGTCATCAGATCAGAAGGAAGGACGTAGGCTGCCGAGCGCCACTTCTCAACCCTCTCCCTCGGCAGCGGTCAAGGAGGAGACCTCGGGGCCGTCAGGATATTTCGGTAGCCACGAGAGGGCGAAACGTGCCGATCACGTCCATAAATATGTTAAAGGAGGACCCTTACAGCTCTTACACATGAGCGTTATTTTGCCGATTGGCATTTTTACCAGTCGTTGAAAACCGTGCGGAGAACCTTTCACATGGCATTTCGTTCAAATGTTACTTTAGATGGGACGTAATAGGTAAAATTGACTTCCATGTTTCTACGATTCATTTACTACACTGGCTCTGTAGCTGCCGGTCCTGTATTTGTGACTGTGGTCGGTATGTTCCCTGTTTCGTGTGTACTAAGGTACTATTCATTGAAACCTACCGGTTGTTCAAAAAAACTACCGCTCGTGTGCAAGAGCCGTTACGGCTCTAGTAAATGAATCGCAGAAAAATGGAATTCAATTAATTTTACCCATTACGTCACATCTAAAGTCACATCTGAATGCAATGCCATGTGAAAGGTTTTCCGCACGGTTTTCAACGACCGGTAAAAATGCCGATCAGCAAAACAACGTTCGTGTGTAAGAGCCGTGAGAGGTTACCGTCGGTGTCCCAACAACCCACGCGGAGTGAGGTGGAATCCCCTAATGCGACACAACCCGAGGTCAGAGCAGCAATGCATCTCGAGACGGCGACCAATCATGGAGGACCAATAACGAGACAATGACACTAAAAATCGGTGGTAAGAAGAAGAACAAACTCAAAAACAAAGAAAAAAATAAAATTAAACTCCATCGACACTTCAATCAGACATTAATCTTTTCTTGATCTATGTCGTTTCATATTTCATTGCGCATGTTTTCAATGTTGTCAAGAAAGGCAGGTAGGTGTAAACGATTTCCAAATTGTCTACCTATATTATCACTGATTTTTTTATTGTTATTACTGCGAAGTCTTAAGGTTTTAAATTTTTACAATAGGCTGATGCACTGAATTTATCAGTGTATCTCAGTTATTAAGAGATGGCAGGAATCAAATAATAAATTGTTCAAAAAAGATAAGATAGACAGTATGGTTGAAGTGGAAATTTGTATTAGCAGCTGACACATCTTCCAAATTTTGGAAAAAAAAAGATGGATCAAGTAATGGCCATCACTTATAATATTAATAACCGCATTATTCCCATCACTCACCAAAATTAAAGATAATTAAAATTAGAAATACATGAAAAATTGATATTTGATAGGAGGGAACTTTTGTTAGTTGCTTGTAACTAACTCACTTTATGTAGTATAAAAAGTTAGGTATTAGTATTATTTATTAATTACTAAATATATTCACTATTTGATAAAGACAGAAAAAATATTATGCCTTAGACCGAGCTAATACCAGGTGTACGAAAGTTCACGCAAGATTTGAATGTTACACCATTTGTGCGGTAAAGTGTTGCCAACGAAAAAAAAAGACAGCATGACAGTTTAGGGTTATTAAAAATGAAACGCTACACCAAAAAACGCGTTTTCATTGTTGAGCAATATTTTTAAAATAATGAACGGTTGGCATCTATGTACAATTCGCAATTTTCATACAATATATGGTCAGATTGGTAATTTAACTTCAACTGTGAAGAGATTAAATGAAAAATTCAAGGAGACTAGATCGATCAGTGATCTTAAACACCTGACCGTCCTTCAACACAAAACATCGAAGCAGTTCGTGATTGTTGCTGAGAGTCCAGGAACATCATTCGTCACTGTGGTCAAAAATTGAAGATTTCGAGAAGCTCTACGTATACAGCGCATTCTCAGGAAGATTTGTATCCTCATACTTACAAGTTCAATTGACTCAAAAACTGAAGCCTACTGACTACGCAGAGCGAAGAAAGTTTGTTGAATGGATAATGGAACAAGTGGATACCGATTTTTTGAACAAAATTATCCTCAGCGATGAATCTCATTTTCATCTTGATGGATTCATTAATCGACAAAATTGTCAAATTTAGGGTTGAGAAAATCCACCAGTGATTGTTGAGAAACAAATGCATTCACAACCTGTCACTGTTTGGTGTAGATTTTGGACTGGACCCATTCTTCTTTGAAAATGCAACTAGTTAGACAATAACAGTTAATGGTGCTTGCATCGCGACATGATAACTCAGTTTTTTTTGTGCCTTTTCAAGATATGGTTATAAGATATAGATATGGTGTAGATATGTGTATTGAACAAGACGGTGCCACATGTCATACAATCTGAGAAACAATTCAATTACTACACAAGTCATTTCCTGGTCGTGTAATTTCCCATTTTGGTGCTGTTGGACTTTATTCTTTGGGGTTTTTTGAAGCCTAATGTTTATGCCAACAAGCCCACAACCACGAAGAAGAAAATTGAACACTGTATCAATAAAATTGAGACACATTTATGCAAAACGGTCATGGAAAATTTTGACTAAAGAGCAGTGGCGGTTTTACCATAAGAGCTGCGGAGCTGCAGAACACATAAAATTTTATGTATTTAATCATATTAAATATCAACAAAATATTTAAAGAATCCAAATGTACTCGCGCTAAAATAAATCTAGGAGCTTATATTATTATTTATTGTGACGCGAGCTACGCTCCTTAATATATGCAACCTCATATACAAAATGTGTGCACAGCGAACAATTAGATGCGTCCTTTGTTTTTATTGGCTAATCAGGCACGTGACCCAGTACACGAAGATAGGGGCTTTTGTGGCTGCAACAGCGCCAGCCACTGCTTAAGTAAATGCAGTAATATTTCGTACGTGGTATGTGGTGGTTTATTTCTGCGAGCGGCACGTGTGAATATTTTCATTTAGGCGTCTACGGATATTATAGTTATTAAAATGAATAGCGTTTCATTTAAAAAAAAACTTTTATTTGGTTCTCTGCCTTAAGAGGATAAACTAAAAATAAAAGAATTAGGTGGTCCAACACCACAATTAAATATTGAAGTTAGTTGAACAAGCCGAAGTAAAAATTATAAAAGACAATTTAACAATAATGTATACACCAAAGCAGAGTGGGTGTGTGGGTGTGATATCAAAAATAGAAAAATACACTGTTATGTTTTTCGTGCTTACTTTTCGGTGGGGATAAAGCATGGACAATATACAGTGTGAAAGATTTAAGTCATTAAGTCTTTAGTTAAAATAAACATAAGAAGTCAGTTAGATTCTGCATATTGGGATAATATACGAAAACACAATGAACAGGTAACGAAAAATTGTTATGTATTATCTAAAATCATAGATTGCATAAAATTTTGCGGAGGTTTCGAATTAGCACTTCAGGGACATGACAAGACAGAAAATTCGGACAACCCTAATGTGTTTCGTGGACTCATAAATTTTAGTGCAGATCTTGACGACATATTAAAAGAACATCTAGCCACATGGGTATGACCGGAATTTTTTGTGATTGTACCGGGAATTAGCTGTATGGTCCCGGATTTCGGATTTGCACGTATAACTCCCGGAATATAATATAATGTACACATATATAAAAAAAGATAAAGAAAAAATCATAACACGGCAAGGAAAATTAAAATTCGTTGAATCGTTGGTAAATTTCACAAACAATTTTTTTGTTTATAAACAATTTTCAATAATTTAATAAAATATATTTAGTTTATTTCAATTTATTTATACCGTCAGTAGGTAATTCGTGAATAGATATTTCAAAAAGGTATCAATTTCAAAAATCATTCTTGTGAAAATCTGTTTTTTTATAAATGCATTGTTCCTTGAAATTCAGAAGTGCTAGGAAAACGCGTGACCTTGAAAATTTTAAAATTTTTGGCCTTAGAGACTCGGGCACTTAATATCCCAGAATTCAATTCAACAAATGTAACAACCCTAAGCAGAACACATTCAATCAATGTTCACGCGCCGCCACTGCTAAAGAGTGTATGTGCCAGCAAAGCTATAGGTATGATTTACCCAATTTTTTTTCCATACATAGCCATAAAACATAATTTTGAATGAATTAAAAACCCGGTTTTCTATCAAAATTACTTCTCGTGTGAATTTTGGGATAACCTTTATCAACGTATCTCAGTTATAAGATGACGCGAAATAAATTGTTCAGAAAAGACAGGACTACAGTATGGTTTAAGTATACATATTTGCTTTAGCGACTCACACATCCTACAGAATGTTTCAAATTTTGAAAAAAAAATTTTTTTTTATTTCCTTTTACAGCGTATATGCTGAAAATTGAAATTTCAATAAAAATTTCGTCGTTACTGAGGGCTAAACCTGTCAATTGAAAAAAGAAGATATTCAGATTAGCCATTTGTGAGAAAATCAACTTGAATGAAATTGAGGTCAATGTTTAGCGGTGAGTTAATTCTGATGTTAAATGTATATTATTCAACGATCTCAGGTTTTATGATGGTCATTACTCAATCACATGGATCAAGTAATGGTCATAACTCATAAATTCAATACAAAAGTAAAGATAAATAAAATTAGAAATACACGAAAAATTGACATTTGCCAAAAGAAAACTTTGTTAGTTCCTTGTAACCCACTTTGTGTAATATAAAAGGGGTTAGTATTATTATTTATTAGTTTCCAAATGCATTCATTATTTTGATATTATTTGATAAAGACAGAAAAAAATATTATGCCTTAGAACCAATCACTGGTGGAATTAAAAAAAATTTATATAAAAAAATTATCAAAGTGCATATAAAATTACGAAATATGAAAATTAATCTATAAAAGTGAATATTACATACCTCACAACCTCCAAATTACTATTTATACTTGGTGACATGCTGAAATTATTGTGATTCCTTGAACTAGGAGATATACTCTGAGATTGAAAATCAAAAAAACTTGGGTAGTTGTTGACCTTTGAGGCACTACTACTCAACTGCATTTGGGAATTTAAAAAATCAATGTGGTCCGACTGAGAAAACCTAGTTGCTGAAAGAAATGGTTGTAACGGGCTGTTACTAGTTGGGCTAAAACCGCTTAGGCCTGATCTTGTAGAACTTGGAATGTTAACTGGAGCCGAACTTCCTAATAATCCAGCTGATGATGCCAATCCCACGGATATTGAATTTGAAACTGTTGGAGAATCTGCATCTATATCCCTATCTAAAGCTCCTGAGAGATTTAATGAATCTTCTAAATTTAACTCATCTAACGCATTTCCTGTAAAGAAATAAAAATGTTTATTCATTCATAATATAAGAGAAATTCAAATTTGTATCTAGAGACTGCCCACCTTGGCAAATTTAAAGAAAATACAGTGACGTCTCACTTCCCTTTAATACAAGTACAGTAAGACCCCGCTTAATGCTGTTTCGTTTAGCGCTGTTTCGGTTTAGCGCTCTTTTATTTCAACCCGGGGATTCCCCGAAATTGCTCGCAGCACTACGGGGATTCCCCGAAATTGTGCGCAGCGCTAGGTTTCCAAATATGTACATAACCTATCCGAAAGTGTAGTTGTGTTTCTTGTTTGGTGCGGTGCTGTACGGACGCATTTTTATCAGTTGAAACATTTGTTGTCATTATTGTAAGTATAAATTTATATAATACTATAACGATTAATACAGTGACAAATATTATGATCTTTAGTTTTTATCCTGGGTGATAATGAAAAAACAAGAAAAGAAAGCAACCAGAAAAAGCATTTCACTGGAAACTAAAATGCAAGTGATTAGAAGATTAGATTCTGGTGAACGTCAATCTCAAATTAGTGCTGCTTATTGAATTTGGCAACTTCAACAATAAGGACAATTCTTGAGAATAAAGAAAAAATACTCCACTTATCAAAAACTTCTAACAGAACGCAAAAGGAAAACGCAAACTACATTAGATGCCTTCCTGACAAAAAGGCAGAAAATTGGAAACACAGAATAGACTGAATGATCTGACTGACTTAGAATTTTATTTGTTTTTATAAGTAATATTCGTTTATATTGTTTTTATTTTTGTAATAAATGTTTGGTTTTATTTTTATTAAAAAAAACATAATTATTAAATTTAATACCTAACCAATTTTCTATCTATCTTTCCCTAATAGACGTTGAGCCAAGTAGTCAAAAATGGACGGTTTGGTTTCCTTTCTGGGGAGTAAATGTAACCTACTAATTTAGATACGTCATGAAGGCAGCATGAATGTTTGTGATGATATTTTGTAAAATTCGGTAGCTTAGTGGCGTTATGACCTTACAAAGATGGCCGCCGGGCGAAAATCGTAGTTTACCATTCTAAAGTCTGGTTTCATTGCAGTATTGCTGGATCAATGTTTGGGATGATACTGTGTAAAAATCGGTAGCATAGTTACGTTACGACGCGGCGTCACAAATATGGCCGTCGGGCGAAAATAGTAGTGTACCATTCTAAGGTCAGGTTTTACTTGTAAGGAGTAAAAGTATCATACAAATGTCAATCCAACATAAAGCCAGGAATGTTTGGGATGGTACTTTGTAAAATTCAGTAGCTTAGTGACATTATGACGTCACAAACATGGTTGCCGGCCAAATTCCGTTTAGGTGTATTGGTAAAAATATAATAAAATAATATTATTTATTATAATAATTTAATAACATAATAATGATATAATATAATAATCAATTTGTACAATACTAATACCAGTCTTGTTATTCCAATTTGCCTATATTTAATTTTTCCCGTTTTTTCATATATGGATTCCGAAGCAGACTTTTCACCATTGCCTAAAAAAGTAAAAATAATAGGTACAACCGATGAATGTATCATTCACTGTACCAGCGACAACAGCAGTTTGGTGACTCTATCATTTACCAAATCATGGAAAACTCTCTTGAATGCAGCGACAATAAGGAAACACAAAAGATTGCTGGAAATTGCAGTCAGTTACCGGAGAAGAATTTCCTACATTAAAGTACCACCGTCACTGTACCACTTCCAGTAGCATGAAAAGTGGTATTTCTCTTCTACTGAGACGAAACAGTCTCAGTTAACCCAAGAATTCTGCTGTAATTTTTTGATATAGGAGAGGTTTTGATCGTGCCACTGGATCTCAATTCCACACATTGCACTAGTTCCTCAAATGTTCTACTTCCTGGCTTGTACTTCTGTTACTTCCTTACTGGCTTTATGTTGGATTGATATTTGTATGATGCTTTTACTCCTTACAAGTAAAACCTGACCTTAGAATGGTATGCTACGATTTTAGCGCGACGGCCATATTTGTGACGTTGTAACGTATCTATGCTACTGACTTTTACACAGTATCATCCTAAACATTGATTCAGGCTTTATGCTAAATCAAAATTTGTATGATACTTTTACTCCTTACAAATGAAACCAGACTTTAGAATGGTAAACTATGATTTTCGCGCGGCGGCCATCTTTGTGAGGTCGTAACGCCACTAAGCTACCGAATTTTACAAAGTATCATCTCAAACATTCATACTACTTTCATGACGAATCTAAATTGGTAGGCTACATTTACCCCGCGGAAGGAAACCGCACATGCTCTGTGGCTCAACGTCTATAACCCCATTATTTAAATGTTAATATAGCCTCGTTTAGTGATGTTTCGCATTATGCTCTACTTTGATGGAACGTATCCTACACGTTAAACGGGGTCTTACTGTATGTATTAGAATTGTAGAATATATCTTTTCTACTCATACATAAAATATGAAAGTAAGGATTTTCTCATGGCTTAATTGAAAGCAGCATTTTTTCTCAAGAAGAAAATGAAAATGTTAGATTTATGAACTGAATTTAGATAAACCTTCTTATCAATTAACTTAATTTTAATAGAATATATTTTGTACATACCTAAAAAGTATTAAAAAAGTCACAAAGGCAATTCTGAATAAAATGCATGTTTTGCTATGTATAAACAATAGAAAGCCTATTATAGTTCATCTTAAAGTAAATTAAACATAAAATTATATGGGCACAAAAAATAGTATTTCCAACTCAAAATTTTATTTGTGATGACCCACTCTCTCGCTGATGTGGCTTGTGATCAATTCTAACAACAAAAAATATGGCATTTTCATCTCTTATTACAACATTTTCTGTTTTTATTTAATTTTATTGTTTTTTTAACAATAACTGTAACTATAATTAATACAATTTTGAAATTTTCAAGTACTACATAAATTATCATCCTGCAGTGACTGATCTATTAGAGTTTCTATTGATTTTAAAATATACTTACACAATTAGGCATTTTTCGCTAGTGAAGTTGTATGTTGTAGTAGTATGTGCAGAATGAGTGAGTGAATATATTTAAACTACCATATGACAAGTAAGAGCAAAAGAGATAGAAACAGTAATTACAAGTCAGATATTCACCAATATTCAATCACGAAAAAAGCCTAATGACATATTTCTGAAAGAGGGCTATTTCTAAATGGAAAAATTGAATAAGGTATTCATAAGAAAAATACAGTGATTGTTAACGCAAAAAATTCTAGATTTAGAAAAATTCTAATAGTGCCAGTCAATGCAGGATGTTAATTTATGTAAAACTTGGAAATATCAAGATTATAATAACGAGCGTTCAAATAAAAACGTGGTCAAGTTGGTTCTGAAAATTTGGACGTAGGGCGTAGCGTATAGCAAATGAACTTAAACGTCATCTGTCAAAGCGCTATATCGCCGCTATCAATTTGAATATTTTCGTTTTAAAAAGCGTTTAAAATGGTGTTTTCTCAAGAACAAAAAGTGTTTATCATAGAGTCCTACTTTAGAAATGGACGCAAGATTGATGGAATATGGAAGTATTTTATTGAGGAATGTTTCATAGAATTTCAAAATCAATTTCCCGGCGTTGTTGAGTACAGAGTTTTTCAAAGTGGAGTTCAGCGTTGTGTTAATGTTTTTCGTGAAACGGGCAGTGTAACAAGAAAAGGAAGCGGCCGACCTAAAAAGCGGACTGAAGAATTAAAAGAAAATGTCCAACAAATAATGGAAAATGCGCCAAGAAGTTCTGTACGTGTTTTATCACAAATGATAGGAGTATCAGTCGGTACCTGCCACACAGTGTTAAAAAAAGATTTGCGTTTGTTCTCCTATAGTTTAACTTGTCAGCAAGAACTTCATAAAGTTGATTTTCCGCGATGGGCTGTATTTTGTAAATGGTTTTTAAACATTAAACAACGGTGAACTTCATAATATCACCTTTTTTTCTGATGAAGCCTGGTTTCATTTAAGTGGTTACGTAAACTCACAGAATATGAGAATATGGTCTTCTGAAAAACCAGATAACTTTTTTGTCGAGGGCCCTCTACACGCTCAAAAAATTGGAGTTTGGTGTGCTCTCAATCGAAGGAGGATTTATGGACCTATTTTTTTTAATGGTACTCTTACTGCGCAAAGGTATAGAGAAGAAATTATTGCTCCTTTTGTTAACCAGCTGGAAGAAAACGAAATTACAAACTTTTACTTTCAACAAGATGGCGCAAGGGCACATATGGCAGGCAAGACGATGAATATGTTGAGGGAAGTTTTCCAAAATCGACTAATAAGTCTCAATGCTGACCATGAATTTCCACCGAGGTCATGTGATATTACGCCGTGTGATTTCTTTTTGTGGCCTTACCTTAAAAACACTATTTTTGAACTGCCTATTCCTGATTTAAACCATCTGCAGGCTTGACTTATAGACAAGATTCGTGAAATTAACAATACCCCGAGCATCTTAGAAAATGTCTTTAATTCTTTGAGGAACATGTGTGAAAAGTGCTTGGAACAAGGAGGGGGACACTTTCAGCAGCTGCTTTAATTTATTGTTATAACAAGGAGGGGGACACTTTCCGCAGCTCCTTTAATTGTTTGTTATTGTTATCACGATTATTCTTTAAAATAAAGTTATATAGTCATTAATGTTATTGAAACTGACAGCTGCTATACAGCTCTTTGAGAAATGAGGTTAAGTTGGTCGCTATAAGCTACTCCCTACGTCCAATGTGTCAGAGCCAACTTCGACCACGTTTTTATTTGAACGCTCGTTATTTATAGTAACAATATTGTTTTAAGAAAACTAAAGGCATTGTTCAAGAATGTATGTTTTTTGTGCAAATTTTTTGTAAATTATCATTGTGCCTCCTAATCCTTAAAAGAAACATGTTGTATATAGATAGCCTATAATCAGAAAGAAAGAAATAGATAATACAAATCCTTGATATGAACAAAAAAATTAAAAACTATTTTTCTTATAATTTTTTTTCGATAAAATTTTTTCCATTTAAAAAATGTCTAGAACAACCCGTTCATTTACTAACTTTTTGATCTCTTTTTTTTTTTCGAAAAATTAAGGATGTATGAGAAAAAAAATAAACGTATTGCAATGCATTTTTAAAAAGATGAACTATTTAACGCAAGTGTATTTTGCCGAAAATGTTATAGAGGTTGATTATTTCAACCCCTTACAAGTTTAGTTTTTTTGACAGATAATGTTCACCAAGTTTGGTTTCTTTAGCTTGATATACATGGAACATAAAAAAAGAAAAACAATTTTTTTTTCAATATTCTTGGAGGGGCGTAACTTTTCAGGGGAGAGTTTTTTCAAAAAATATTATACCAAAAATTTATTTTCATCAGAGAATCGCCCCTTACATGTTTTCGGTATTACTTAGATACACCCTGTATAGTGGAAATGACTTTTTACAAGGTGTTCCATTAAAATACAAGTAAAATATTAGTTTGTTTTTATGTACTTCTTTGATATAGCACAAATAGATATTAAAACTGGTTTGGTTTACTATTAGTTTCTAAATAGAAAGGTAAAAAAAAATAGGGGGGTTACGTAAATGACCCCTCTACAAAAAGTAAGTTTTTAGGACTTTCATGGCCCTTGCTGAATTTAAAACCATAGTTTTTCGGGTTTTATACCTATCTGCCTAGCGCCCTCTAAAACTGGTCGTAACCAATGCTTGAAAACATTACACCATGATTGAGGCCACTTGAAACTTCGTCATCGGTTATAGCGCCAGGTGGGGTGAGGGGAGAATGCGTGATATACCACTGCACAGGGTCTGAAAGCGGGCATGGTGTCAGATGCAGCGGTACTGAGGATGTAGCGGGATCTCCCACCACTGCACTGCACAGGCCTAGATGCACATGCAGCGATATCCACAAGATGTTTTATATTGTGACAAGATCTGAAGCGGCCTTAAACGCAACAAAACTTTTTCAGAAAATCTGATAGAAGGATGGAGTAACATTTGGGAGCATTATTACAATAATATTGTATGTAATTAATCAGTTACAGAGGCCACTATGGAATGTCTCAGAGGGTCACAATTGTTTATTTAGTGGTTCAGTCTGTAGCGGCCTTCGAACCAGCACCAAGATCTGTTACCAATATTAGGACGGGTATAGGCTAAGGAATTTAACGTAAGTCGGCAACTGGCAGTGACCAGGTACATAGGGCACGGTATAACAACCTATAAAACCATGGTACTAGGCATTGTTTATATACCCGGTGCCTGTTTTTGGAGTAGCCACACCATGGAGATCTTGGTTATCTTAAGACATACATCGGTCAAATTAGGACTAAGTTGAGATAGAATCGGTAGAATTTGATGATGCTGAAAAAAAATTTGACCCAATTTTTTTGTTCTGAAGTTATCAACAAAAAACTAAAAATTTCGATTTTCATATTTTTTTTATTCAAAATTGAAACATATTTTTTATAAAGAATTTAATTGTATTGCCATATTAGTAATGGTTCCTATCAGGATGGAAAAACAACATTCAACACTAGAGCTTCCTATTGAATTTTTACATTTTTTTAAAATGCATTTATTTTTTTGATCATGGTGATGATATGTCATATATCAAGATTTACTTTTTTATTTTCGTCAAAATAGTCTCAGTGATTATAAGCAAGAATAGTGGTGGCTAACAACATATTAAATGAATGATCTGTAGGGCAACTGCTGATAATGGTACTAGGAGGCTTAATGGTTATGGTTATAGTTGTGACCTGCTATTTTCGAGCCAAACAAGTACTGCAGAAGATATGGTGAGGAATTACCATGACCCAAGAGCTAGATTAATTATGCAGATGTAACATAGAACAAACTGTGGCAGATGTGTAAGGATTTACAACAATTATACAAACAGTTAAGAAATTTCGAAGGTAATAAGAGTATGTAGTTGTTTCCCACAATATACTCAATAAAAAAAGCCAGTAGTCATGTTTTCATAGTAATTACAGATTAAGAAGTCACTCTCTGCCAATAATTACAAAACATCGTTTTGTGCCTGTAGGCTGAGTGGCATTTACAATTAAGATATGATATATTTTGTAGGTTGTATCTTACCTACATTCAAAAGTTGAATGTTTCCACAAAAAGTGTCCTAATAATGTATGTTTAAAAGGTCCTCCTTTTTGACATTTTCAGATAAAATAATAAAAACAAACGAAAAAAAACATGGTAAAATTTATCTTCGGTGTGTTATTGGTATGGGTTATACGAAAAATGGACATTCGACTACATTTAACATTTTTTACACATACTGGCAGGGTATTCAGATAATTTTATGCAGTGACAAACTTACTGTATCTAAACTCAGCCTTTTAGTTACTTTTTCTTATTCCATTTAGCTTCAGACAAAATGCCCACTAAAATCTTCCCCTGTCGATGAGAAATTTACTACTTGTCTCTAGCAGAAAATAGAAGAATTTATACATTCCCAAATTACGTTTAAAGCAAGTCAAATTATGAAAATATAAAAACGCAAGTAAAAATATGTGTATTCATCTAATTACGTGCATCACATAAGGGTTTAAAAAATTTATATGTATATAGATCACACATTATTTGCTATGCTAAAGCAATATACTACGACACTTTGTATTTCACTAACCAAGTATATATTTTCATTAAATTCTCTAAATAAAACTTAGTTTATATTTTCACTTTGTTGAGATTTTGTGAATTCTATGAAAATGGGAAGCAAAACAGATTTGTATAACTTATTTATACATATTTCCTTTTATATATTGAGCAAGTAATGACAATATTCTTGAGCACAGAGGAGATATTTTTGTCAACATTAATATCTTGGCTATTCACTGTGACGTAAAAATGTGAAATGAAGCAAAAGAAATTTGTATAACTTATTTATACATATTTCCTTTTATATATTGAGCAAGTAATGACAATATTCCTGAGCATAGAGGAAATATTTTTGTCAACATTAATATTTTGGCATATTCACTGTGACATAAGAATGTTTCCAAAATATTAGAAAAAATACCGAGTCAATTTTGCTGCAAAATAATACAGATTGACAGAACATTCACAAGTTAATATATAAAACATGCTGTTTTAGTAAAAGTTTAATAATCTCTTAGGGGAATCAAAATTATAATTTAAAGAAACAAAAAATATTTATATATTTGGAAATTAGATCATGAATGGGTAGGAGAATGAAGGGACATGCATTTTCCTAAACCAGACCACTTTATTTTAAAAAATTCATGTAAATAGTAATGTTTTTTACAATTACATCAATAAAATTATGTAAAAACAGTTTTTAATAGATGCCACTCCTGTATATCAATAAAATATGAATTATCTGTACAACACTGAACTGTCATTTGACAATAAATAAATAAAATAAATGCACTTACCAACTACACTTTCTACAGTATCACTTCCACTATAAAATGGGCCACCTAAATTGTTATAAGCATAACACATATTTTGTTTTCTTTGTTCTCTTTCTATAGCATCTGAAACTTACCAAAGGAATTAATCGTATTAACCACCTACTGAAAATATGTATATTATACCTAAGGTAGGATCTTTTTCAATAGCCATTAATTTATTAGATAATTCTAAATTTATCGTGGTGTGTCTTTGGAAAGGAATTGGTTTATGTGTTAATTGAGATCCAGGTGCTTTACTTGTTCCTGCTGAAGATCCAGTGGTTACATTTATTAAGCTACTACTTAAATTTGATATTGAATTACCTATCTCTGAAGATGTTGAAGAAGATTCACTAACTTCACTACAACCATTCTAAAAAATGCCAAAGGATATTGATCACTTTTAAAAACATACTATTTATAACATCAGTAACAGAAATTAATTTTCTTTTCAAATTTATATTAAAACCACAAAACATATGTAATCTTAATTTTATTAAACGAATTGTCCTTTGAAAGAAAATGAAATCCACAAATCTAGAAAAAATCTACAAATGAAGGTATCCGCCATCTTTAAAGTCCACAAATGCACTTTTTACTCTTGTTTATCTATGCAATTTTCCAATTTGTGGACACTAAAATAATGTAGTAGGTATTATTAGTTTTATTTACAATAGCCAGTTTCTAATGGCTTGATAATAGGGTTGTCCACTGTAAAAACAAACCATATACAAATTGTTGTTGAGTCAAAGATTGTATATAAAAAAACATGCCTGTATAGTCAAATTTTAAATATATGACAAATTAGTGGTAGAAACCATTTATGAATTTTTGCGTTACTTAAAAACTAGTCTGACGTCATAAGGGGCAATTGAACAAGAAGCTAGTAGCGATCCTATTGCATAATTTTGAAGAAGAAGAAAATATGTCAAAATTGGCCATCAAACCCTGCTGCCCTGTTTCCTGTTTTTTAAACAAAAGTGACACTAATGACAGCAGTCTGTCAATTAAGAGTATTTGTGATAGTTATTATTAACTTCCTGATTGTAATGGATTCAACAAAATTTAAGTGGTGTTTTGTTCCACATTCCACATAGCCAATTGCATTGTCTCCATAAGACTCCCGAACTGCACTATAAATTTCCATAAATAAATAGGTATTTTATATAAATAAATACAATAAAATCATTCAAATAAGATGATCCTTACCTGACTGCTTTTATACCTCTGATTTCGCCAATATTAAAACGCTCGTCTCTTTTTAAAAATTCAATCCATGATCATAAAAATATCAATTTTCGGTAAAATTTGCGAAGTAACTTTCACAAATCCCGATTCACACATTCTGCATTAATTATAAGGGAAGATATTAAATGATTATTACTAAATAATAATTTACTTGACTGAGGAAAATAACTCATAGACTTGAAAATATTTTATACGACAGTGTCACTGACAGACTGACACTACTGACAGTGTTGACAGAGCGTCATCTTTCAATTTTTTTCCTTTACGCAATCATTTACACATAATTTCACTACAAGGTGCCCCTTATGACGTCACAGCCGTTTTGAAATGTTATAAAAAAATCAGTTTTAAATAATTATTTTAAAACTGTTCTCACGCATTCCTCAATCTCTAATTGTGTATACACACTAGTTAGTACGTGTAGAATTATATTATCTACTTTTTGAAATTTGGTCAACAACCCTATTGTACATAATGCGCAATGAGACTGACAATAGTTTGCAATCGTTTCCAATTGCTGCTCTGCAAACAATGTTCAGACATTTCAAACAACTCAAAACACAAATTGTAGAATTCAAAAATAAAGTTTATGTTCATATAAACAAAAAATATATATGTATATATTGAATAGGAAATACATTACTATTTATCTAAACATACTAACGAATTAATTTAATAATTTCATTCATTGAAGAGTTGTTAATATCACATAAGTGCACAATGCTATTAAAATCTTTACTCATTACGTGGTGACTTCAGACGGATATTAGATCTCGCTCTAAACATGTGAAAAGTAAGAGATATCTTACTCTAGAATGATATCTGATATATTGTTATATGTATTCAAAATACTACATAAAACATATATCTTAATGTAAACATATTTGTTATGGACAATGAAATAATTTGGTTATTATTGAGCAATAGTCATGAACTTAAGAGTAATAAACATTTGTGAATTGTTAAGGATGTTCGATACATCTCTTGTGGGGCAGGCGGTGCGGGAAGGAAGCCTATGCTTATACATGGTAGTTTCGTTGTACCAACCTTACATAAATTAATTTGAGCGAACTAAATATAATATATACGAATGAAATTTATACAACACATATTAGCTTGCATATATTTTTCGTGTTTAATGCACGGCAATCAACTTTTTATTTGAATAAAAGTGTCTATTTATTCATTAAGAGCTTGTAAAATTATGGATGAAATCTGGCAACATTGTTATGGCGTGGTGGTAAAAGTTGGGTCAACTGTCATTACTGTCAACTTTGCGTGTATTCCGTAAACATGAATGAACATCCAAGGTACAAAGGAAAAGTAATGACTGAAAAGTAATATAAAATGCCTATGAAACAGAATGTGGATTGATGAGAAAAAAGTAAAATGTGCAAACCGAGAATCCACATGATAACTATCAAGAAGTTCAGTGTATGATAGTGAGGCGCCTTGTCAAATTGAAGATTACGACAGAACATCTATACTGTTCGTTTTGCAAAGAGATCCTTTCAATTTTTGTTTCAAATTGCTATTATATTGCATTAGATCACGAAAAATTTATTTAATATTAATTATTACTACATATGATTTCGACTGGAATAATTTTATAGTCTACAATCGAGCTATTCAAATATAGCGCGTCAGTCGAAGCGTTAAATACAGCACACAGTGTTGCCATATTTTCTTTCATTGGATCAGATGTTTGTTCAAATTTGTCAAAACGTTATATATTCATTCCATTAACTCAATAATTACATTGTAAGTGCATATTTTTATTGCTTTAAAATGTTTAGTAATATTTAATTCTTTAATTACAATTTTATTTTCCCGATCCTAACCATTTTTAAGAGCAATATTCAGGTTTGATTAAAGTTTTTGCCCCAACTCCCATAAGAGCCTGTGTATAAGAGCACAATTTTTAATATCATTTTTTAAAAAAAACTATATTGGCAATCGATCTGATATTTTTACACGAGACAGTTTGCATATTTATTAACAGATTTCAATTGCTTTGAAAACTTTCTTACCATTTTTTTTTTGGTATCGAACCTCCTTAAAGCTTTTCTGGGTAATATGATATATACTGAGTGTTCCAAAAGTCAATACCAAGTTGGCAAGGATTGATAGGCCGAACCATGACTAGCCAAAATAATCTTTTAGTTTTTGAGATATAACGACCTTTTTAAATTTGTAAAAATCACTACAATTAGATGAATATTTGGATGCCACAATTACATAATTAATAATTTTATGATTCCGTTTTTAGCTAAATATTACAGAAGAATTTTGCACTCAAAACCAATAAAAAAAAAATTCTTGTTACTGATATGATTTTCTAACAAATTTTGTATTCCTCGGTTTTAAGGTTTTTGGATGATTATTGTCATATTTTTAAGGTTGATTTGATGAATTTGTTGACCATAAATTATTCAAAATACTGTAAATATAAACTGAAGAAACCAATGAACTACATGGCAAAAATATTACAAAACAGTTATTTTTGAAATACAGTCAAAATTAATTAATTTTTTATCATAAATGATAAATGGCAAGCAAGCATTATACCATTTTAAGAAAAAAGGCCAGTTTGATCTTGTATATTTTTGTGATATCACTAACTACAAAGTAGGATGATAATTTTAGAAACCTTAAAACTGGAAAAATAAAACTCTGTCGCCTCTTGGTTTTGAATTTTTGGGACATCTTGAACATACCAGGTCTCCTAACACCTCCCTATTTTATCAAATTTTAAAAAACAAAATGGTTTCGAAAAACATATTTTCTTTTCAATGCCTACCTTAATGACAGCAGATTTAATTGAATCAACATATTGTTTTTACTTTATTTGGTTCCTACATATTTCTTTTCCGCAACAATAGACTGTTATTTAGGACTTTAATAAAAAAAATTATAGTATGTAACAGTTTATAAATCAGACCAAATTTTGATATTAAAATAGTTTTGTAGATATGTGTAGCTGATTCCTTAAAAATTTCTTTATTTTTTTACATATTAAACTAGGAACATGGTTCATTTTTGTTATACATTTTTTTATATTGAATTTGTGTGATTGTTATGAGTAAAAATGAAGAATTAAGATTTAATTGCATTGTCATTTATTGTACCAACTTTGTATCAAATGAAGAAACTGCCATAACTTTATTATGGTTAGATTTAATCTGGAATCAGGGTTTATCAAAGCAGTAACATCAGTTTATCGAAGAATATGTAGATCCGTATTCAACTGTTTTTTTTTTTTCTTAATTCAGACTTGATGCTGTTACAGTAAATATTGTATAAAAATGGAGACAGAGAAAAACCTTGTGGTACACCTTGTTGTGGAGAGAAATTTTGAGAAAAATTTTGTAGATCCATTCTAGAATAAAGTAATCTTTTTTAACTGAATAGGAACAAGAAAGGCAATTCAAAATCTAAGAATGGCAGAAATTCCCGCAAGAGGATCTATCAGGAAAATATGTTATCCTAGTAACCGTAATTGTCCTTATGAACCGCTGTACGAATATAAAACTTATTATATCAATCTAATCTAACAAAAATTATCCTTAACACTAAGTCACACCAACCAACCATAGAAATCTTAGCTTTTTGTAAAACAAGAAATACTGGGTGCAACTTTAAGTGGGGGTTAGTTTTTTTGGAATAATAGTATGTGTGAATACGAATCTGAAATTCTTTATTTATTAATCAAATAAACAGCTGAGTTATAACTAGTTTTTCAAACTTTCAAATTATTGTGTAAACTGCCACTAGGCGGGTTAAAGCAGGACACCTGGAATTTGCATATTAGTACACTATCAGCGTTGACAGTTGTTTTTAAACCAATTTACTGTGTGTCAAGTTACAATACAAAATAATTTATTATACCAGACTGCTTTTGTATAATTTAACATGTTATTTTAAAGTCACCACACTTTTTTATATCACTGTGTTCGAAGCGCCGAACATTAAAAAAAACTTTGATATACAGGGTGAGTCATTAATAATGGTACACAGCTTAATGCCAGATTGTTTACGTCAAAATATAGCAATTGAGCCGAACATGCTTTAGTCAATTGTTGCTCCTTTTCGTTATACAGGATGTTAAAGTTGAAAAAATATTTCCCATTTTTTGCTATAAGTATTTTATATATGTATAATTGTTTTGAAAATTTGTAGTTTTACATTTTTTGAGGTGGCAAATACGAATATGCAAACAGTGTTGGGGTCACGTCTAGGAGGCACTAGTTAACTGTCCTATCAATGTAAAAATATGTCTTAACTTTTTGTATTTTACAATTTTGAATTTCTTAACTAGAAATTATAGAACTACGTTCAATTATAAAATAAAAATAAAACACACCACAGAAATGAGACAACCCCCAAATCCAAAAGCCAAAGGCTTGTGCGGAAGGGGGCTACACTTGAAAAAACGCGGACAAACACCCATTATCCATCGACATTGCCAGTGCCGACATCGGGGATCGAACCCGGACCAGAGTAGGAAGCCTAGCTGACAAATGCTTGCCACCGCACTCTCGACCGACTGCGCTACCGTGGCGAATTCTAAGTAAAAAAGGTATACTTGCTATAAATCAATAAACTTAACCGTTTTTGAGAAACAGACATTTTAAGTTTTTGAGATTCGACAGGAATTAAATTAGAAAATTAGCAGGTCTTAAGATACCAAGTCTCAATTAAGAATTAAAACAAACATTACAGCAAATTTTATTATGCATATCTTAAATTATTAATGATAAAAGATTCTCGAAGTAACCACCAGTGACTTCAATGCACTTATTTAAATTCTGTCTGATGTTAAATAAAGTGCTATGTTGTTTGATAATAATATGAACTGATTCTTAAATATTTGTCCACAGTTGTTCTGGACTATTAATAATGTCTTTGTAACCTAGAGACTTGAGATAGATCCAAAAGTAAAAATCCAGCGGATTTAAATCAGGGCTATGTGCAGACCGAGGTTCTTCGCTACCGCGTCCAATCCAACGATGCGGGAAATTTCTATTAAGATATTCTCTTACTTCTCGGGTATAATGTGTTGTCAATTTATTATGTCAATGCCCACTACTTTGGAAAAAAAATGTTTTAATTAATTTAATAATTTAATTCCCGCCGAATCTCAAAAACTTAAAATTACTGTATCTCAAAAACGGATGAGTTTATCAATTTGTAACAAGTATTCCTTTTTTATTTAGAATTATACGTAGTTCAACAATATCTAGTTAAAAAAATTCAAAATTGTAAAATACCAAAAGTTAGACATATTTTTACATTGATAAGACAGTAAAACACTGTTTGCATATTCGTATTTGCCACCTCAAAAAACGTGAAATTACAAATTTTCAAAACAACCGGTCCATACATACTTAAAATATAGCAAAAAAATCGAAAATATTTTTTCAACTTTAACACCCTGTAGAACGAAAAAGAGCAACAATTGATTAAGGCATGTTTGGCTCAATCCCTATATTTTGACATTAACAATCTGCCATTAACTTACCCTGTATATCTATAGATATGTTACTAATTTTAAATAAAACAAATGTTTTAAAATAATTGTTTTTGTTTTAAAAAACGAAAAACAAAAATAAATAAAGACGCTAATCTGATGTATATGAAATATTTTTTCAAAATTGTTTCAAGTTTTTACAGAAAATTATGTGTTACTATTAAAGCAGTATATGCATTTAACTAAATTTGAAAAAGGTACGTTTCCCCTTTTTTTCTTATTCGGACTCTACAGCAGTGAATCGGTGCTAACATATTAAATTAATTCAAAGTTAATAAAATAACCAAAATTAAATCATGAAGAGTTTAAATTTAAGCAGAATCTAATCATGTTCCGAACTCTTTTGAAAGGCAACTGAAGTTAGTAATAGCTGTGCAGTAAACAGGTTAGATACATTTTAATTTTAGTTTTCGTGTATAACCATTTACTTCAGTGTTTCAGCTAAGATAATATAAGGACATTCTGTACACATATGTTTTTATAAATTGTTGTAAACATATCTAAAGGGTGTAACAAATAAAAAGTAATTAAGGCGATTTCTATATCATAAATTAAAAAAAATTACATATGTTTTGAAATGATTCATTTTTGAGATACAAGGTACTAAAAATTAATACATATAAAAATACTGTTCATCTAACTGCAAAAGACGATTAAGGGCAGTCCAGTCACATACTTTATTTCATTCATAAATCGTTCATTTATCTCAAAAACAGATCTATCCTAATTAGGATCCAATTTTAATAAATTAATCCCTTGAATTACACTCCTGTAGATACATAAAAAATGTATAATGCGTATATACTTGGATATAATAAAAAACAAAGCTACATACCAAACTTGAATTACTGTAATTAAAAAAAAATAGTTTAAATTTTAAACCCAATTTTTTAAATTTGTTATTGTTGGTCAACTATTTTATAATTATACCTTGTGTAATAAATTTATAAATTTGTCAGAAAACATAAATGAATGAGCTAAAGATAATACCTTTTGGATTTTGCAGGTACCTACTCCAAAGGAGCATATTTTTTTACTTTTAAATGCTTTAAACTGTACTGATTTCATTAAGTCAATAATATTTATATATTCAGCAGATAATAATACATTTCTAAGGAAAATTTTATCTACTTACAGAACTATCACTGCTTTTTTCTTTTATTTTAATATCTGCAGATTGAGGAAGAGCATTTGATAAAATTTCAGCTAGGTTTGTCCCACTATCACCTGTATCTCTTGAAACACCAAGTTCTTCTAAAAAAAATCAGTGTCAAATATTACATTCTTTTATAGTGCCTAAAGTGTCCCATGGATATAAGAGGACTGATATCAATTTGATTAAATTTTATAATGCAAATAAAAATAACTAAATATTGTGAGGCTACTATCCCAACCAAAAATTTTTATTTCAAATTCAGATCAGCCCCAATGTATATGTAAGTACTAAATATTCAAATTATTTCCTTCTTTATTAGTATTTACAATACAACATATTCATGTATGATGTAACAATTTCAACGTTATACTGTGACAGAACAATACTAATTTGTTTTAATCAAACACTATGTCATATTTAACTCGTATTTCACTAACCAAGTTCACAATAGGAAAAAAAGGAGTTGCAATATTCCTACAACAATGTTGTACGGGTTGTACTTTGACGAAAAAATAAAAAAAATGTTACTATGACCATAGGCCTATAAATGCTTTGTTTTCGGAGTATGGGCTCATAAAATTGTATTTTTTTTCATTTGTTTTATACATTTCCTAGTGGATAGACTGGTGCAATGATTGTATTCACTGGCTGGTTGGTTAGTTTAGCAAACTTGAAACCATGTTATAGTTTTATTCAGGGCTAGTCACCAGACCCTTTAAAAAATATGACCATGCCGAGGGTAATCACGTCTTGAATACTATTTAAGAAGCTAAAGTTACAAAAAATCCACAAAATAGAAATGTTACAGGATAAACCCAAGAAAATTTTCTTTCACGAATCAGTGTCATTAGAACAGAAAAGTTTCAATGGTAATTTGTAGATTTTGTCAGATCTCCAAAAAGCATTGATGCACTGAATTTGTAACAGTGGTTTTCAAGGCCTGTGCTGACATTTAAAGTAGCATGGTTTTTCAGGTTGTTATACCGTGGAAGAGTACCTAGTCGTCATTAGTTCAGACTTACATTGCTTTAGCCGAGAACCTGCCTTTGTTGTTCCCGGACTAACTCTGTGAGGCGGACTCGGCTGGCTCTGATGTTGATATCAGTTTTTGCTACTGGTTCTAAAGCCGCTATGAATGGAACTGCTTCTCATACGTTGGTAGTCCCCGAGATGTGCCTTAGTGGTGGCAACCAGATACATAACCCGAGAAACCATGGTACTTTAAACAGTACTGAATTTGAATGGATTATCTTACAAATATGTAAAACGAATGAGAGCAGATAAAAAATGGCAATATTTTATCACCCTGTATCTCAAAAATGTGACGATGGCCGACCTACATTCATATGAACTTTTTTATTTTTGTTAAAAAAAATTACCTGTAGAATTTTATTGGTGGAATAATGCAATACCTTTATTATCAAACAATATTAAATTATTAAAGGACTATTAAATACTGTGTAAGAAATTAATGTCTAAATAAAAAATATGGTTACTAAATGTATTACTCATCAAATTTATGGTAGGTACTATTTCTTGCGGTTAGAAACTTAAGTGTGTGTATACAGGGTGTTAGAAGTTTGACTGCCTTAATTGTAACAGACGATAGAATACATTAAAATAAAATAAAAAACCTTATATGACAAAAGTCCTAAACTCAACCATTTTCGAGAAAAAAATTATCAAAACCTCCAACTTGATGTACAAATGTTCGATTAATTAAGGAATATTAAAATAACTGCGTGCATAGAATACCATAAAATACAGTGTTTATCACTTTTTTGAACTTCTTTATGCTTAATTCTAAAAAATAATTAGCTTTGTTAATAAATTTAAAATTCGATAAAATTCATATTGAGCAATGTGACAACGGCGCGGGCGATTAATATAATACGAGGTACTAACCTTCAATACGCAATTCAGTTGGTGTTGGTATCTGGAATTGGACCGTGAAGTGTTTTTTGCATACCACTATTTCATTTTCTTGAGGTGTTTTGTAGCGAGTGCGCGAAAATTGGATTCGAAGGTGTCGAAATGGTGGTGGACATTTTGAGCATATGTTGTAGTTTGTTTTGTACTTGTGCATTTAAAAATTACTGAATTTAGCTTTTTGGTAAGTCCCTAAATTATTTTTAATACATATGAATATTTGGACGACGTCAATTTTTCTTTGGGTACTTTAAATATTTTTCAAATTTGATTAAAAGTTAAGTTCCAGTTTTAAGAAATTCATAATTACTAAAATTTAAGCACAACACTATCTTCGTACTACAAAATCGATGTATTTTATTTTATTTATTTAAAAACTGGAAGACAATTGTCTTGAAATTTACTAAATATTTCACAATAATAGTTGTTTACTTTTTTTCCGTAGGACAAGCCTGCCGCGTGCACACGAGGTGTGCATCGGCTGTGTAGCGCTGTTGTCACATTCTGATGAAACTCCCCAATATTAATATTCGCTGTATTTTGAAAACTGTTAATCTTACACCCCTATAATATACAACTTTTTTGTTCATTTATGATTATCTCATGCTGAAGTTATGGCAGTCATACTTCTTACATTCTGTATATAGGGTGTAACTTTAAGTGGGATCGTCAGTTTTTTAGGGATAACAGTATGTATTCCCTAGATTAATCTGAAATTCTTTTTTTTAATCAAATAAACACTCGAGTTACAATTCGATAATTAAACTACACTTAAACTTTTGTTTATGCCGCTAGTGTGAAATATAAATCGTTAGCCTAGTAAGTAAGTTGTATCATTACTTATCAGCATTGCCAGTTTTTATCCTTTTAAATCAACTAGAAAGCCAAACTACAATGGAAAATAATTTACAATAGATTGCTTCTGTATGACTTAGCAGTGTGTTATTTTAAAGTCACTATATTTATTTGATGTCAATGTGGACGAATTTCTGAACATTAAAAAAACAAAATTAAAATTTTTTACGAGATTTATTAAATAGTAACTAATATTGTTATGTAGATACGTTACTAATGTAAATAAACCTAATTTATGTGTCAAAATAATTATTTTTGCCCTTTTAAACGTATATTAATAGTAAAAATATTTACCGAAACGAAATAGATAATAATATTTAATTGCAGAAAAAGTCTAATTTATGTTAACGTTATCATTATTTAGTTACAGTATAATGCATTTTTGTGCTTTCATGTTCTGGTTTCTGCACGATATTATGAAAAAGCATGCATACAAATTAAGAAAAAGTTGATATGATTTGTGCCTCCTTTTTTTTAGGAGAAAAGAACACTGTTGTAAGAAGACAACATCAGATGAATTGTTCCAACCGACCAATACCAGTAATAAAATTGTTTGTAAGATCAATTCAACATTTAAGACATTATGGGAGTTTTGAACGCCAATAAGCTAATGTTGGAAAGAAAGAAATTCAGTGTCAGAAACTTGGAACTAGAAACTTTAAATTCCATGGAAGATGATGCTGGCACCAGTACTCGCAGATTAGCCACAAAATTTCAAGTATGTCATATACTATAAATATTAGGTAAGTATCAGTGGCGACTCGTGAAGGAGGACTCTGGGACTCCGCCTCCCCAGATATTTTCAAACTATAAACTTAAAATAATGTATTTATTTAAATCAATAAGAAATCTAAATAGCATGCATTCTATATCTCTTGGATGTTAGGTTGGTTGCATAAAGTGCATGTACTCCGTGAACGTAGCTCAGATTAATGCCATCTGCCATCTATGATCGTACCAAAGACTTATGTTTAACCGCGCGCGCAATCCCCAGTCCATCGCGGATGGTGAAATCGTAGTCCACCGTGCAAGACTATTTTTACATATGATTGGACAAATTGGCACGTGGAGGGGTAGGTGACGATAGGCTCGTGCGCTTTGTTTTGGGACTCCATGTGGCAGTATCCCGTATCACTGCAGTGTTGTTATACGTGTTTTGTTTTTGCTTTGGCGCTTTTTAAGACATTATATTTTATAAGTTTAAGTTTAAAATGAGGGTTTGTGAAATAAAAAAACTTGTTATTAGTAATGTAAGTTTCGAGGAAAAAATCGAATTGAAAAATAACGGACATCCAACGCCAGTGTTGAATTTAGTTGAGCTGCAGAAAGAGTGCAAAAAGTGGGCCGGCTTTCGCAAATTTGATAAAAACATTTATAAGACCCTGTGGTTGTGACCAAACAATTAGATTTTTTTGTTTTGTATGTTAATTGTTTGGAGGAGGCGAAGAAAACTGGACGAAAACTGGAGTTTCTGACTTGAAACATTTAGAAATTAAAATTAAGAAACATGAAAATTCTCCTAAACACAAAAATAAGTTGGTGAGTTTTTTACTTTTAGGAAGAGTAAATATTGCTTCTTGTTTAAATAGTGCTTATGCAGAACAAATAAATAGTAAATAGTCATAACGAAACAGTTAAGAAAAATCGATTGCTTCT